AGACTTGTCAAACCACTCCCACACAAAAGCCCATGTGCCACCCGCTGTGAAGTAGTGTGCTCAGGGTGCGTAGACCCAGCACCTGTGCAGTGTTCAGTTAGCACTTAACCCTCCAGATTTTGCATAGGTATTAAAGGTGAAAAGTGCTATAGAAACACCATTTTGCTAATGCCTTAATCTGAATATCCTGATTTTGCAAGTGAGTACATTCATGAGAAGCATATAGTACCTTTAGATGATCTTAGCTGATGAAATAATTTGTCAATAAATCTTGGAGGTAAGCCCTAAGTCTGACACCATTACAAACATAGAGGTCATGAGTAGTTCAGAACCAGATTATATATTAAAACCTCCTCTGACAGCGTCGGTACTTCAGGCTGTGTTTGAACAGCAGTTATGATGGTTTGCAGACTTTCAGTTGGTACTGCGGTCATTTATCTTCCTCAGTTTTTACAATCATAAAGCTGATGTTTAACAACGCTAAGATACAAAACTAAGTCTAAGACCATTTTAAACCTCTCCCTCTCCCCTAGCTTGAGTGTTCTTAAATGGAACATATAATTTATAGGCTTCATAGAACAGGTTCATGAGTATTAAAAATGCGTCTGTAAATGTGAGGTAAATAGCCTCAATAGATCAAAGAGAAAATAAACGGTTACTTGATCAGCGTTCATTTTGGTCGTGAAATGTTATTTCCAGGGTAGGTGTTTTTTTGTGGTTTTTTTTTTTTTTTTTTTTTTTCCCCCCATGATGTTTTTTTTTTTTTTTTTTAAATGACGTCGACTCTCCTTTGTAGATTATGTGGGTTGTAACATAACTGTCACTTCTCCATCTAGTGCTTACCTGAGCGACTTACTCAGTTTGAATAGGAGTGCTCACCTCCTTGAGAGCAATCCTTGGGAGCTGACTGAATAAATGAAGGAGAGCCATTAGTGGAGGAATTATTATGTTCTCCCACTTCCTGCCAGGCATCTGCCTAGTGTTTTGCCTAGCTGGGCTTTGATGGGACTTTGATTTAGTAAATAGCTTTAAAAATCCTTCACATTTCATGGTTGTCCATGTGTGTGTTTTTTAAATTATTCATCTTGGGAACTAGGCTACTGGTAGTAATATTTCTAAAACCAGTCAAATTTGAATATTTGCGTAAGCTTTTAGAAGTGGATTTTTTCCTATATATTCAGAACGTGGTGTCCATAGTCTCTTTCTGACTTTTACATTGGCCAGCTTTTGAAATGTATGACTTGACTTCGTGAGGAACATCTTTTTCACCACAAGGATGGTCAAGAAGTGGAGCAGGTTGCCCAGAAAGGTGGTGAAATCTCTATCCTTGGAAGTTTTCAAGACCTGGCTGGGCAAAAGTCCTGAGCAACCTGGTCTGATCTTGCAGCCAGCCCTGCTCTGAACAGCAGGTTGGGCTAGAGACTGCCAGGATGCCTTCCAGCCACAGTTATCCTGTGACCATACTTGTCAGTCATCTCAGCTGGTGCTATCCTAGCATCTTTTATGCCATGCTGACAGATGTTTTATTAAGTGAAAGTCCCTAATGTTAAAGAAAACACAGCCCTCCCAGTTAATAATGAAGTTCAGATTTTGGACTCAAAACTTTAGGTTCTGTTGTAAGCAACATAACCTTTTTGATTTTTTGAAAGGAAGTTGCAGATTCCAGCTAGTTTCATAAAACGTTCTTTAAAAAGACAGAGGAATTTACTTCTTTCAAAGGGACTCTCACTATGAGACAGCTTGATTTTCATTTGAAGTTGTTTTTTGTTTGTTTTGGTTTTTTTCAAGGAGGATCTCAGCTGAAAACTTAACTGGTGTTTTACTGAAACCAAAGGCCGCCTCTGGGGAGTGTAGTGCATGCCAATATCACTGAAGGAGTAATTTCTAAGCAAAAATTGTCTAGGTTTATTCCCAATATTTTTTGTCATGAAAGTTTAAAAATTCTTAGCAATAAAATTCAGAGAAAAAACCTGAACTAAACCCCTAGTTTTGGACAGTATTTCCTCCTTAAAACAAAGAAAACCCCCCAACACCACCAACATCCTGTCCTCTCCCTGAGCCATCCTCTAGAAACCAACTTCTTCCCATCCAGTTCTTCCCATAAGTCACTCAAACTCTGATTCTGTCCTGTTTAGTTCTGAAATCCGAGAAGCACAGTGACACTGCTGCTCTCTGCTATCTTCGACACCAGAGGGGCAAGGACAAGAAGTGTTACTTCCTTTACTCTGCATCATCCTCTGTCTCTGCTGTTTTGCAAGTTACAGATGCCCAGTATGATTTCAACCTGTTATTCCAAACGGCCCCTTTTGACTTACAGAAATACACCGTGTTGTTTCTTTGTGGAAACGTTTTTGCCAAGAGAGAAAGTGCATTCTAACAAGTATGGATGGCAACAGAAAGAAAGAAAATATCTTTTCAGTTCATACCAATATTTAAGTTCTATGTAATGTCTGTGTTCTGATAATGCTAGTTACGCTGTTAGGTTCAGAGCTGCTCATCGGTTAAGTTCATCTCCCTTCTAATGTCTTGCCCCGTGAAGCATTGAGTGAACAGATGCCTCCATGAATCTTTGCGTCGATGACTTTTTGTTTTGTTCAGAACAGTTGCTTTGTATTCACGCTTACAGTTTATACAGCCTATAATGCTCTTTTGTTTTATTTGCAGATTGTCATAAGCATAGGACTCATGTTTTATGTTGTTCACCGAGCTCAAATGGAACTGAATGCAGCTATTGTAGCCTGTGAAATGGAAATGAAGACATCGCTTGTTAAAGACAGTCAACCGAGCATCACTGGTTCAACCACATACTGCAACAAAAGGACAGTAGCATTCTCTGGAGGAGGTGTCAATATTGTGTGATTTCAAGTATTAATATTAAGGTTTTGTGAACCTAAGCTGTTGCCTAGAAATATCTATGGACAATTCAACTAGTTTTAAAAAAAAATTACAAGTGGTTACAGGTTGTACTGTGGCACAAACCAACCGACCAGCTCTTCAGTTGCACACGGGGTGACTTCTAGCAAGAAAAGAAAGATGGTGAAGTAACTTAAGATGTAAATGCAAATTCAGCTGCACCTTTGGTCATTTATTATGCCTGTCATGGCCTGTAGTCTGCACTTTAGGTTTTTTTCCTTTGCTTCTATAAACTGAGAAATGCTTCTATAAACTGAGAAAAGTAGCACAGAGGTAAATATTTTTCTGCTTAGCATTATTTATAAGGCTGAATAATTATATGCAGTAGAATTTTATTACTGATAAAGATGAATGAGAAAGTATGCAATTCAATGTATGTTATTCTTGAATGTGCTTTTGCTTTGGAATTGCTTCCAGAACTTGGAGTGTATTATTTAGCTAATGATGGGACCATTTGGCTTTTCCTTCATTTTTGTTTTTTTAAAGAAAAAAAAAGAGCCCGATAAAAAGTTTGGTTGAATGTATTTTTGTAAGTCATTAAAAATGTTGCGGAGCCATGCACATGTATTCACACAAGCTTAAATCCTACATTGTGGGACTGAAGTGCTCTTAAATAACATTTTAAGTTACACTGTGTAATATGCAAAGTAAAAGGGAAAATACAGAAGTTATAATAGATTGCAGTGACTCTTTGAAGGAGACGTCATGACTTAACTCTTGCATTGGTTTTGCCACCTTGGTGATTGTAACAAAGGGCTGTTCCACGTTAGTCCTATTTATAATATTTTTAATTGTTAAAAGGTTGGAGTTTTTCAACTCACATGACTGCATGTGGTAAGGCTTCCAGAACAGGGAGCTAAATCTCTCCTGTAAACAAAAAGATGGCATACTGGCAGTACTAACTTTACATGAAGGTGGCCTTTATTTTGTAAGTGAATCTCCCCTCCCTTTAAAAAGCTTTAAAAATTCACTTTGGTTGGCATGTTTTTTTCTGAAAGTTTTACATTTTTTAAAAGATGCAATCTATTATAAATTTCATCAGAGTGAAGAAATGAAAACTAGAGGTTCTCCTTGGAAAAATAAATAGTCCAGTAGTGGAGGAGGACAGTAATGTCTTTGAGACTCAGGAATTCTGACTCCATTTTTGCAAGACAACACTGTATTGGATAACACTCCTTTTACATGTGCTGTGGACTGTTTTTCACTGCATTTGAATAGACTGGATAACCTGCTAGCAACTTGTGTGTGTGTGTAAAAGGAAAACAATAATGCCTGAACACAATGTCTTGTATGTGCGAGTTTCATGTAGATACACGTACCAATGTTCAATCGCTCCAACATGCGCAAGTCATCTGATACAAAAATAATGTAATATATTGCTTATTTTGTAGTTATTTTATGTAAGTTTTTAAGGATGCTTTCAGTCTTCAAGCTTTTATGTTATTTTCTAACAGTATGAATGTGCCTCCTTTTTGTAAGGCTGTTTGTTGGGTTCAACCATTCTTGTCTTGTTGAGAATAGCAGGACTTCGAGGCTGTTGGGAAGCAGAGATTTGATAGCCTCTGACAGTCTTGCTGTGAGGATGTACAGGACTCGCATAGCGTGACATCTACGCATTCCTTGGTAGTGAAAATTCAATTTTGTTCTTTAAATATGTATCCTTTGCAGACTGCTTTTCTTGGGTCTCGTGACCTAAGGAACTGAACTAGTTAAATGAAACAACAGAGTTCAGATTGCCGCCTTTTTGTTGTTTTGGAGCTTGTTTTTTGTTTGTTTGGTTTGTTTTTGAAAAGGCAATCTGTATATACCTGGGAGTGTTCATTTACACATCTCTGCCTCTGACAGCTCCTGTGTGAAAACAAGAGAGCCAGATAACTTTTTGATGACGTTATTTGTCATCATAGTATAATCGAGCCCTTTCTTAACTAAAGGTTTTTTATTTTTTTTGTTTCTTGGAAAGAACAACCCTTCAATAAATGAACTGATCTGAACTTTGCTCCGTCTTGCCAAATCAACAATAGTGTTTTGAAGAGGGTGTCTCTTTGCATTTTTTAACTAACTTAAGATTGTGTTGATTATTCGAGAACATTTCCCAAACACGTATTTTGAAGTGCTTTTATTTCCATGACATTTTGTAACCAGAGTAACTTCACTATGTGAACACTTTTGTAGTATGGAATTAGTTCTTAAGACTTTTGCATTTTGCTTGATACTTGTAATATTTGTGTACAAGTTAATGGGAAATGTGCATTAAAAGGAACTTTTCTGTACCATGCCAATCATAATTTTATACAATAAATTCACTCAAATTTCTTTAAAGGAATATGTATTAAATGTTTAGGCCGCTATGAAGTAGTTGGAAAGAAGGTGCAGTGGAGTGTCATCTTTACATATGCATGCAAAGATAGTTGTCTACATTAAATGACTAACAAGTTAGGATTTAAGGAGGAATTTTGTTGTTGGGGAGGTACTGACAAGGGAAAGACACTTGGGGTTTTGTTGTGGGTTGGTTTGTTTTTTAAATTAAATACATGCTTAATTCTGTTAAATACTTGGAAGGTTAGGTATTTGTAGCTGCCTTTTTGATAGAAGAATAAGCATATGTGTGCTTATGAGAAATGTGCTACTGAACCAGAAGAGGATTGGTATTTCTGAATGCAAAAGTAGTAAAAGTGATGGGACTTTTTTTTTTAGATAGTTTCCCTACCTAGTGCAATTAAAAAATAAGAGGCTATGAATCCAGTTTAAATAATGTGGCAAGTCACCATCATGAATATTTTCTGAGTTGCCATGATGGTGAAATTTCTGCACTTTGTATATGAAATGTAGCTAAATTGCAGGTCATACAGAAGAAGAAATCTCTCTTAGCTGCTTGACGCCAGTTTTCCTTCCTCCTCCTTGTGGTAAGTGCAACTGTGTAATAAATCTGTCAAAGTTTAACTTCATACTAAGCAGCTGTGAGGAAAATGCTTTTTTGTCCAAGAGCTTTATACACTATTTTTGTACTGACTTTTGCACAATAACTTCAACAAGCATTGCTGAGGTCAAATTTGAAGAATGGAAAAACTGCTCTCGCACAGTGCGTGGTCAGTGTCACGTATCGCATCCTTCGCATTCATTTTCAGCTCTTCACGTGAGACTGGTATGATTTGGGTTTTCACTGACCAAGATTACTGGAGTCATCAGAGGCCTTGTAAATAATGTAGGATATGATGCTTAAGATGAAACACTGTAAATGTGTTCCCATTCACTCTGGTCATTCTTAATGACAGAAGCAAATAGCTCGAGTAGCTCTGACAGGCTTCCTCACTATCATAAATTCAAACTTGGTACTGGTCCCATCTACATAAGAAGATGGTTTGGGCATGAGGGAATAGAACTGGAAGTGCAGAGGGGAAGCTGGTGCAAATTCTGCCTCTGCTGGGGAAAGCAGCTCGTCCCTGCCCTCTCCAGTCCCACAGAATTAGAGTGATGTGCCTGGCAGCATAGGGGTGATGGATCTAACATGTCCTTTCTTCATGGACATTAGCATTTGTCTCGTGCTATCCTGCTATATTGATTTTTAATTTATATTAATTTCTTAGTGATAAGTAGCAAGAAATAACCAAGTCTGCAGTTTAAATCATGTTCATTTCCTCCTCCTATAGATTATTCTGTCGCATTGCTAAACTTAAAACTACATTTTGATGAAGTCTTATGTTCGTTAATGTAAGTGAAGTCCTCCTTGCTAGCCGAGTGACTAATGTGTAGCTGGTTGGATCTGGATTCTCGATTCGTTTGGAAAATTAGCTGGGCAAGATCTGCTGTTGTGAGTGCACAAAGTCCTCTAACTTTCCTTCTAATTATTTAGAACTTTAGATATATTGTGAAAGAAATTAGCAGAATAGGTTTATTATACAGAGGGGTTTTTTATCCTGTTTAGCTTTAGAAAAAAAAAGGTTACTAGCAAGATAGGAGAAGAAGGATTTGTTTTGTCCTGATCCCGGGATTGGATACTGGGTGTCATTCCTTTTTGGAGATGAGAACGTTGCCAAGATGTAGCACACCTCAGCTTAGGTGAGTCAAGGTAATTAGGTGCCTGCTTTGGTGAAAAGGATGTAAAACGTGTATCTTCAGGTTAATATGGTAACTTTTTTTTATCATATAACCTGCAGACCAGCACAGTTTGTCATTGGTGGCTGCAGTGAGTTGCTTCCCACCCCTCCTCATACTCAGGAGGGGGAATCTAGAGAGCTGAAAGTCTTTCAAGCTGAAGGGGAAGAAATAATAGTCTGAGCACAGCTGGCATGGTTTGTGGAGGTTAAATTAACCTTAATGTTGCCAGAACTGTGAATACATGTAAGTGCCTTGTTGTTGTAACTGCCGAATGCTTTGACAGCTTCTGCTGCTTTCCGCAGGAGGGTAGCTGGGTGAGCTCACCTAGAGGTCAGTCAGCATTTTCTCCTCTGGAGAATTTTATCATGCTTTGACTTTTGGACCTCTTAACTTCTGAAATGGTCTTTTGACAAATTTTGCTGACGTTCCTCTAATTAGCATGGTTTAGTTTGTCTTAGTAACAGGGCAAGATCAACTGGGGTGCAAAGATGTATGTACCGAGTGGTGTTTGTGCAGTGCACCTGGCCTAAGCAAGAACTTCTGTAGGGCAATGCGCAGGAGCTCGATCTGCTGAATGTGAGGTGTTTCCCTCTGTTCCCAGTGAGCTATAACTGTTTCCCTTAAAGGTTGTGGGTGGGTGAGTGGGAGGAAGGAAGGAAAGGCCTGTGGTGATGGACTATTCTAATTGCAAATTTTCGCTCTCTGCCTTAGAAACTCAATTGCTTCAGATCACATTTAACGTGAGAAAGGGTAGGTGGCGAGGGAATAGACTAATGAGTTCTCCAACTGTGATTTTTTTGTGAGGGAGTAACAATTTGCTTCAGTACACGATGAAGCACCCAGATGGTAGAGGGGTGGGGTTTTTTGTAGGATTTTTGGGGTTGAGGAAGGGTGAGGGTATGTGCTACTGGAAGCAAATAAAGCAAAATGACAATGATAGGAAGTTAATGCCGATTCTTTTGAACGTTGACTTCCTATGACTGTTCTGGATGTCTTCTACAGCTACAGGGGATAGTGTCTCAGAAGCAGCTAGAGTAAGAGCATCTGGGCTTCTGGAGGGCTGCTGAATACGTACCCCTGTCTCCAGGGCTTGCTTTTGTTACCTGGGCTAGCAAAGTCCAAATCCGCAGCAGTGGATAGCTCTGGAAGAGGAACATTTGCCCTGTTGATATCTTGTGCAGCAGTATAGGGCGGATGGTTTGCCTGCGTGAAAGGCTTCCTTTTTGCCTTGTTCTGCTTCGCCCAGCTCCAGCGGTAGCTGGGTGAGGAAGAGCTGGGCACTTGCCATTTACTTTTCCACCAGTCAGGATGGCAGGGGTTGCTGAGTAGAAGCCAGAGGTTGTTCTTTTGTTCTCAAACCACTTTCTGAGTAGTTTCCTTTCCCTATGTGCTAAAAAAAGAAACAAACCAAAAACCAACCAACCAACCAAAACCCCCCAAAACCAAAAACCACAAAACAAAAAAACCCCAACAAAAAAACCTCCACCATCACCCAAAAAACCTTCAGAACTGCTAAAATTCATACCAGTAAATTAATATCCTATATATTCTCCTGCAGCTGTAAATCGTGGTAGAAGATGATATTTTGTGTTCAGCCAGCTGTAGTAATCTCTTCCATGCTCAGTGGTTCCTGAGCCAAATGAAGTTCTCCTGCTGCTGAGCTTGTGAAGGTGCAGTATTTGGTAGTGTCATGGTTTAACCCTGGCTGGAAACTAAACACCACGCAGCCACTCGCTTGCTCCCCCCACAGTGGGATAGGGGAGAGAATGGGAAGGGTAAAAGTGAGGGAACTCATGGGTTGAGATAAAGACAGTTTTACAGGTAAAGCAAAAGCCACGTGTGCAAGCAAAGCAAAGCAAGGAATTCATTCACCACTTCCCATGGGCAGGCAGGTGTTCAGCCATCCCCAGGAAAGCAGGGCTCCATCACGTGTAACGATGACTTGGGAAGACAAACATACTCACTCTGAACATCCCCCTCTTCCTTCTGCTTCCCCAAGCTTTATATCCTGAGCATGACATCCTATGGTGTGGAATAGCCCTTTGGCCAGTTGGGGTCAGCTGTCCTGGCTGTGCCCCCTCCCAGCTTCTTGTGCACCTGGCAGAGCTGAGAGCTGAGAAGTCCTTGGCCAGTCTAAGCCCTACTTAGCAACAACTAAACCATCAGTGTGTTATCAACATTTTTTTTTTGTACTATATCCAAAACACAGCACTGTGCAAGCCACTATGAGGAAAACCAACTCTATCCCAGCCAAAACCAGGACAGTATCCACCCCTTATTCCATACAATTTATGTCATGCTCAGGTCTCCACACTATCCAATACATCCTCATTAACCAACCACACCCCCCCCGCCTTCCCATGATATATTACACGGATATCATTCCCTTAGTCCATGGACCGCCCTTGTAATATGTCCATAAAATGTCCAGAAATGTCCACAAAATGTCCACTGGGTTAATTTAGTCCAAGACTTTGGGCTCCATCTCTTATGCTGGTCACTCAGGACAGGAGAGGTGATGTGTTGCATGGAGTTATTGGGCACCAAAGCCAGCTCAGGTCACTGCTGCACTTGCACTGCTTCTTGTAAGGCTTGTTCTCCATTGGTTCAGGTGTCTCTTACTCTAGTAATTCCTACAACTTGCAACTCAAGTCATGGGTTACAACAATTTAAGGTATATCCATTACAGTCTCCACCCCTGGTCCCTTTGGGCCAGCTTATAGGGTTTAACATTGCAATGAACTCCTCCCCTTGCTCCTAGCCTGGCCAGCAACAAGGGGTTCCTGCTAAATTCCCATACATGCAACTCAAATCCCAGGCTACAACAATTTAAAGGCAGTTCCATTACAATCTCCACCCCTGGTCTC